AACTATCACCTTCAAAGACGAACTGATTCAGGGCCAACAAAGCAGCCTCTCTGCCCAAAACAACTGAGCAGGAACAAAGGTAGAAGTGAAGATATATAATTACTGCTAAGCAGTGACAAAATTACTGACTAAATGCATGGAAGAGATATTACACTGATCACGTCTGTTTAGTTTTTTAGTGTATGCTGTGCCATATGTTTTCACTTAAGTTAAAAAACCAAAAACTGCAGCAACTCTCCCGTCCTCATTACACAGAGAGATTGCCAGATACTAGCTACTCCTTCTGAAAGCCTTTTATATTCTTCAAACCACATGTACTGAGAAATTCTATTAATAGTCAGGTATTTCTCCAGTCTTGTTTGTTGCCTTTCTCCAAATAACTCTTTCCTTTTGCTTTAGCTACAGAGGTAAATTTGGGGAGGAGGCCCTCTGGGATTAATAATCTTACTAACACTATAAACAATTTTTCCATTGCTTCTTCATTGACAAATTTAACCCTGAGAGCAGTGCACATGCTAGAGAATCTCTGCAACTACGTGGACAGCATGGGCATATTCATACCTCCATAATTACACTGATAGAAGCACTGCTAGAAAAAGGTGCAAATCCAAAAGAAGAAATTTCAATTTAGATTTTAAAAAAACTCCATGTGACTCGTTCAAGAGCCCAAGATTGCTGCAGTCTCCCTGCTCTTCACTGAAAAAAGTTGCAACAACAGACTTGGTGGGTGCTGGGAAAGAATTCCTACAAGCAAATTAAACCCTTGCAAATGGTGAAACATGGGAGGCACTCCAACATCCAAGTTAATGCCAAAACAATAGCCTGGGACACAGGAGGGTGCTCGGCAGCTGGAGCTGTCCCCCACAGGAACCCTTGACATTTAGAGCTTTTAGAATTCCAACATCTTGTTACAGTTTGATCTTCTTGACAGCTGTGAGAGTTGACCAATTTCATCATGTTCCTCACTCTGGCTATAAACACACCAGCAAACACACTGGCAGCAGGGCACGGACCCACTCGGTGCTGCTCGAGTCCACACTAACAAAGTGTTAGCACAGCCCCAGATATGCTCACCAGGGCCAACAAACATCCTCCTCTACAATTCTCATGCATTCACAGGCTAATACAGGCCAGTGACCTTTCTTGATAGGAAGCCTGGACATAGCCACTCTATTTTTGTGGGGGGCAGGGAGTTAATCTGTTTGAACAATGAGCTCAACAGCGTTCACGACCACAGGACAACCACTTTATTTATTAATAGAGATGGAGTCATCGTTTCCAAGCACTTAGAGTGGCCCATCCCGTTTCCAGACTCTGTCAAATCCCACAGTAGGGGACAACAAGTTTGATGTGGCAGACAATCTCAGTTTCTAAAAGTGCAGTCAAACATGACACTGGTCTGTTTGTCAACACGGCCATTCCTCATTTAAAAATCTTGATCCAGATTCTGAAATATAATCTCATGGGTTCACAGCCAGCTGCAAAAGTGGGCAAAACTTTGAGCCACTGTTACATGAATGGCCAAACTAGGTACTGGTAGTGACCGTTTAAGGTGCCAAAACATAATCACACCTCTTCATACCTATTATTTCCCCTGTTCTCTGCACACAGAGGAAACCAGACTTTCCACAAGGACTACAGACACCTATGATGAATGCAACAACGTCTTCAACCTGCTGGATCAGCTCCAACATTCCTGACAGCTCTCACCTCTGCTTTTGTCCCAGGTTCCTGGGCATTGTGATCAAGTAATTAGGACCAATCCTTGGTCCAGATCTTTGGTGAACAGAGTCAACAACTACAACATATACTAAAACTCTACCCATTTAAGACAGGTTAAGAAAAAGGTACAACAGCTGCTCTTAGGTTCCTCTTCATCTATTTCTAATAACTAGTTGACGACTCTCAGAACCACTGTTCAAAGAGAGTTTGATCAAGACTTCATACCACACACCTCATCTCAGAAAGCAGCAGGGTTGCCACCTGCTTATTCTGTGCCTCTTTCATAGAATGCAAGTAATCACTAAGGCTTTTAACTGACAATAGCAGCAGTTTCCCATCTGACACAGGATGTGCAGTATTCCTACTGCAATAGCCCATTTCACAACCAGCAGCATTCAGGGAAAGTCTAAAAACTTTCATATTCAGGACCCTATTCACCTTGAGGGCTTCTACACACAAATGCTCTTGCCAAGAATGGAGCACTCTGTCCATAAAACCTCCTTGCCTGGGCTGATGGCCAAATCAGAAAATAACCACTGGACTGAAGGAGCAAGAAATCTTTCACAAAGAAGCACTGTAAAACTTTCTATGTTGTACTGAGTACTTTTAAGCATCTGGATATAGGAGAGCTGTCTTTACAATCAGATTCTCATCAAAGAAAATGAAAATCTCTGATGGACTGTGTCAAAATGATCAGCATACTGCCTTCTCTTTGATATGATAACCTTTAAAGAGCAGTAGTCCTGCCCTGAAAATTTCTGAGCCATTTCTACTCTTTTACATGTAATTTTTAGAGACGTGTTATTCCAAATTAGTGAAACCCAGTAGACAATACTCCTCAAAAGCTGCTTTCCCCTAAATATTGCAAGACTCATTCTAGCAATCTTGGAACTGTCCTTTCTTGGACCAGTAAACACAAAGTGATAGATAAAAAACAACTTAATTCATCTTTTTTTCAGAGACAAAGCAAAGCAAAACTTAGGTAAGAATAGAAACTTTAACAAAAGAAAGTAGAAATGGTGGATTAGCTTCCAAGTTACTAAGAATCCCTTGGTTTCATAACTGTAGCATTTTCAAGCTACCACAGATTAGTTTCTAGAAGTTCCTTGGAACATGCAGCATCACTGAAAGTGAGCTCATCCTGTAGATGTATTTCAAACACAAAAAAAGCAAACCCAAAAAGACCCAAACAAACAAAAAGCCATTTTGCACTTGGAACAGATCACAGTGACTGAAGAACAGCAGGTGATATTCACCACAGTTCTCAGCAAGGCCTTCCCATTGCCGTCTCAGCTGCAGTCGGTGTCTATAAACACCAACCACCTTTCCCAGTGTGCTGCATGTCGGAAACCCCAGCTGACAGTGTCATGGGGCTGCCTAACACACAGAGCAGAGCTCCTGCCCCGTCTGTTTCAACACAGCCACGTCTCTTTACACTTCCTCAGCCACCCTGACTACTCCTTTTCCCATGCACATCCCCGCTCTGACAGTTTTCACCTTGCACCAGCATGTGACTGAGCTCCACGCTGCCTGCCTGGATCATTTGTTTGGATATCATTAGATGGCCCTGACTGAAAGCCCTAATGAGGTGCTGATTCCATCATCCAATCAGTTGTCTGAGCCCAAATGCATCCCATGGGACAGCCAGAAAAGACTGATGCAAGAATTCCAAGTGATGTGTAACATGAAAGGGCGCCATTCGCATCGCTAGGACTCACAGCCTGTCAGCAGGGCCATTAGAAATCCGGGGCTACACAGATTTATAATTCAACCCTCCCACACACAGAACTTGCTCCAGACTGAAACTTGGCACAAAATTCAGTCCCAGGAGGGTGTTAAAAAAATAACCTATTCAACGGTTTCCGTCCCATGGCTTCAGCTCACAGCCATTTAAATAATGGCAATTTCTCATTTCTCTTTTTAACTGAGGAAATCCAATATAAAACACCAGATTTACATAACATTGCAGTGGTGATACAAGCTGGCAACAAACCCAGAGAAAAGGCTGCCAGAGCCATTCTGTCATTCTCTTTTGGTGAATTTCTCTATTTGGATTCAGTTTAATGGAATGATTTTTATTAGGTCTAGCTGACATCACATGTAACCTGTAAATCCCACCTCCACACTGGCCAGGCATCTTGCCCTAGCTTTGTATACCTTGTGTGCTGGTTAGAAGGGGACAAGCCCTGCTGTGGTCACAGCAGCCTCCCACTTGTGCTGCCACCATTAGTTCTGTGCTGCAAACTCTGCTGGCTGATTTAGAGGACAGTAATTAGCTTCCTATTGAGCTGCAAAAGACTGACTGGACAAGGAATGGACAAAACAAAGAAGGGAACTGATGCAAGCCAAAAGCAATTTGTCAGCAGAGCCTTTGATTTGATCAGAGATTGTTCCATAACTACCACACCTGCTTCCAGGGAGAAATACAGAGCCAAGCTTTCTGTGGTTGCAGTTCTTTCTCCACCAGGTATTTAAATTCCTACGGGATTATCTGTAATCTTGAGTTTGTCAGTGGAAAAAAAAATTTCCAAGTTGAAGCAATGCCACAAAAACTTATTAAATACACTGGATCTCAGATAGTCTTCAATAAATCACTGCAGTGAGCACAAGCCTTCTGCTCCACCACCACTCAGACAGAGGCTGTGATTGCACATGTGGGACAAGTAGGAGCTTGGCGCCCCAAACCAGATCATCTTCTGGGTGGGCTACTGGCTCCCATCTCATCCACCAGCCACAACTCCTGCTTTCCTGAGAACACCTGAGACACAGCCCCTTCTGCCTTGCTCCAGCTGGTGGATAGGGAATATTAAAATTATCATCAAAGCATCTGAACATACTTTTCTTACTTGTTATATAAGTAAATAAGTAGACCAACTATAAAATTCTATGATAAGAAAATGAAGATTTGTATCAGTGGTCAAGCCCAAGGCACTTCAAACCAGTTTGAACCCTCTGCTGCTGTCAGCAAAGCTGCTACAAGGTCTTCTGGCAGCCAATGTCAAAATGCTTCTTCTTGAATGTGGTCGTTGGTCTAAATTGCCATTGTTGCACTGACTCTCCACATGTACTAAACCATCTTCCCTAAGGCCACCCTCCAGAGTCCATGGTCCAGCTGTAAAAACCCTTCTGCATTTCTCAGAACTACATATACAATAATTCTCTCAAACAGGGGAAATAAACTGAGCTCGAAGGACCACCTGAGTTTTCAAAACAGAAAAGAAAATGGGGCAAGCGTCTGCAGACCACCTTCTCCTCCAACAGCTGCAGTTTTCTCTTACCTTGTCCTTTAATTCCAAAGGGGGGTACAAAGTCCCTGATACGTGCCCATTTCCTGAAGGAATCGTCCAAGAACATTGGTGCCGGCTTCGAGAACCTGAGAAAACCAAAATGAGAAAGAAATTAACTCCTGAACTAGGAAGGATAAACCTCTGCAGGAATGTTGAGAGAATCCATACCTAAATGCTGATTCTACAATGTCACTGGCAACAGAGTAATGTGGAAGATTTTACTTTTACCCAAAGATGACTGCAGTGAAACAAAACTGCCAGAATTTGTGCCACAAGTCATGGACCTAGCAATCACTTCCACTCAACAATTTAAAACTGCCCCAGTACTGTTTGGCTATTAATTTAGCTACAATAAAGTGTAAATTGCAAGCAGGGTTTAGGCAGTTTGAGTTCCAGCTTTGTGAGCCCAAGCCAGCTTCTGGGCTGTCTGTGTGAGTGTGTGAGGAGTCTGCTTTGGCCTCACTCGTGCACACACACAGCAGCTATCACCACACAGGCAAGAAAACAGTCCAGGAGATCATGAAGCAGTTTGTAGTTTACAGAGAAAGGAAATGGAAATTCAGTGCCTTCTTCAGCATTCATTAACACATAAATGATTCAAGAGAGGTTCCTGCCAAACCAAACAGTTACAATCTATCCAGAATCCCTTACAAAAAAGAGACCTAGTCCTTCTTAACCATGTCATTATGGAAATACATTATCCTAATTATACCCTCAACACATAAACAGCAGCTAGTAAAAATTTGTCTCTTCTAGAAACAATTACTACAGTGGCCAGAGAAAAGGAAACAATTAGCAAATATAGAAACATTAACTTCAATATGGGACCATTTCTGAGTGTATCAAGTACTAGAAAGTATGTTAATACCATTAGAAATCTGTTCATTCAATCATATCAAAACAGTAGCAGAGATGTTCTGGATCAAAGTCAATCCCACCAAGAAAAGGAATGTACTACATGTTCAGAGTCAGAGAAAACACCTCCACCACAGAGCAAGGTACATGCCCCTGAAATAGATCCAGCTTTCCCAACCTACACATGGGAGCAGGACAGGTGTAACCCACGGGTTTAGCTCTCCCTTCAGGCTGTTTCTGAACTCAGCATGCAACTCTTGCTGCAGTCAGACAACCTTTGAACTACCTGATTTAGGATAAACTTATCTACACTACACCACAGCCGGGTACAGAGCAACAATTTCAAATAGCAGCACAGTGAGGAAAGGATGGAATGAAATCTAAATTATAAACTGGTCAAAGTGAAGTCCTATCTTAGATGCCCAGATGCAGAAATCTATGGAAAGGGGAAAGAGACCAGGAGAATTTAACAAAACAAGAAGTCTCAGATTCACCCATGCATACTGCTTCACATCCACTCACGCAATCTTTAATAAGATAATCTATAGCCATAAAAGCAAGATGCACAGATGACATGGCTGATCTAGAAGGAAAGGAATGTTTTTTCCAGAGCTGAAAATACAAAATATATAACTTTATCTGGGAAAAGATGGGAAAGGTATGTTAGATATATTAAAGCTTCTGAAGCTTTTAAGTAAAAACACCCCACAGGCCTATTTAAAAACAAGTAAATAACAATACAGTATTAACTGTAACACATTTACTCTGAAAATATCCTAAAAACTTCAATAACCTGACAAATTAGTTTAGTGTTTTCTCACACAACTTGGTGCACCAAAATATAATTATTATGATTCCTGGGGTGTCTCCAGGGACTTACCTCCACCTCCTTCCAACATCAACAGGAGGAATCTTTGCAGGTTGGTCATGCAATGCAAGAGCATTATAAGCTGCAGGGCCACAGCAGAGATGCTCACAGCCCTTCCTCTACAGCCACCCCTTGAACTCTCAGCAGAAGCCAGGTCCCACCATTCTCCCCATGCAGCAGCCTAACTCAGAAGCTGCTGTTATTTATACATGCAAATGACTGGCCTGTTTGCAAGTGACATCTGGAAAAGACAATTTACAGATGTCTGAAGTGGAATAAGGAATGCCTCTCCCTAATTCAGATTTCCATTTACAAAAGGTGCCTGGTAAAACCAGAAGGGAAGGCAGATCCTCCTAAGACTCCCTGGACCACAGGGGAGTGCCCAAAATCAGCTGAAGCTCAAGGCATGACTGATCTAATGCTCTATGGTATCGCTTCTGCAGGTGACCACCAGGGCACCAAAGTGATGCCAAAGATGGGGTGAAATGATCATTGGCCTTTTTTTTGTATTTGCTACAAGTTAATGTAGGGATTTTTCTAGCAAAGAACACAACAGCCTTAGACTAGCTACTATTATTTGGTAATATTTAATACTCCTGTATACAGGGCCAGAGAAATGGACTTTTAACTCATACTTTTGCTTCATTTAAGGAGGAAGAATAGTTTTGGGGAAATATTATATCCATATGGGAAAAAAAGGAGCAAGTTAGAAGATATTTTGCTCCCATAAATCTTGAAAGTAATTCCGTTTCGGAAATATTAAGAAATTATGAATGCTGTAAGCGCATGTGCTTTGCCACCTCAATAAATCAGAGCAAGCCAGAGCTGATGTCCAGCAGTGACAGGGAAATGCTGTCTGCCAGACTCTCCAGGAGCATGGCTGTTCTGTCTCAGCTCCGAACTGCATCTGGCGTACTCCAGGACCCTTCAGGAAATATTGGGATTTGTCTCAAACAGGCCATGGGAATGCTCTCTGCAGAGCACCTAAAATACATTCCAAGGAATGCATGGGAGTTTGTCAAAGAGAAAAAGCAAATGTTTCTGAATGATGTTAAAACTCTGCATGCACTGAGCAGCTCGGTATGAGATGCTGCATTTTGCCTGTCACAGCTGCCTAAAGGCAGATTGGCTTCACTGGCAACCACAGCTACAGACCCAAAACAGGTTTGTGTTCCTTCAGAAAATGGCACAGAAAGTGAAAGTTTTGATTTTTCACTTCTAAATTTCAAGCACTTCCTCTCTACTCCACCTCAAATTCCAGGACAGACATATTGCAATCTCATTGCACCTGACACCCTGAAAAGCTGAGGAATTTGGCTGCTTGTGGCAGACACTTATGACCTGTGTAATTTGAGAGAGAAATGCCAAGCATCTACAATCTCTCGTTTGAATGGCATACCCTGCTAAAACACAAATGACATCTAAATGGGCATTGACATGATAATTGTGAGGTACAAAACAAATCTCTCCCAGCTCTCAAGTTTGAATTCCTCATACAAAGACAGTAATAAAATCTCTAACAATTTGTCACCACGCACAGCAAAAGGAAGCGAACGTTCTGCCAGAAACTGTTCTTAAACAGAAATCTATAATCACACAAAAATGTGATATATATTTGTGCCTAAAGGACTCTGGCTTTTGTGACAAAACATTACATTTCCAGTTCTTTCCTCCCTGACAAGAAGAGTTGTGACCCCAAAGCATTTCTGAAGGCTGAGCTAGCCTGCCAGAAGCTCCCCAGCCAAGTTTTTCAGCCATTCCATTTTGTCCCTGATACTGAGACCACTTCACAGCTGCTCCTCTTTGATGAGCACAGAAGTACTCAGCATAAGCAGCACTAACTTCCCAAGGTATCCTGCAGTCACTAGGCAAGGTAACTATGGGACAATTTTAGACATTGAATATTGACCAGAATCTGCTCCCTACTCCTTATCTGCTGTTTTCCAGCAATTAATACATAAATGTGTAGAAGAGAAAAATGTACATCTCAGAGAAAGAAAAAGAAATAAACTGATTTATGTGCCTTTGGCTTTAATGAGGAGGGATGAAGAAAAGGTCAAGTTCCTGAATGAGTAAAGGAGAAGATGGCACCACATTTCTAAGGAACCACAACACCAAGGAAAGGCAGACTGGCAGACACCAAGTTCCACTGTGAGCTTATATTTCAGATATTCCCTTTTTAAAAAACATCCTCCTTTAAGGTGACCTGTAATTTTGTTTATTCTTTAATTAAGGAGAATCAGTAGTGCTGGAAAACTGAAAGCTGAAACAAAAAAAAAGCCCAAACAGTGCTAGAACATAATGCTGTGCAGAACCTGCACACTGCATTTGTAAAGGAGCAGGAACAGCTTCTCTCTCTTTTTTTAAACCACACATAAATTATTTATTTGCTCTGGCATGACTTCTATCTTCTGTTTGCCGATGATCAAAAGCATCCCTGGTTAGACAGAAGGCACAAAGTCTACCAATGTTATTAATTAAATACAAACTGAAGCCCTTGAGTGCTGAATCATTAGCCCTGACACAGGCATTTATGGAGAGAGAGAATCTAAACTAACCTTTTCCTTTTTCCTTACTGAGACCTAGAGGTATGCTGTCTCCCTTGCCTCCCTTCTCTGGGGAGCCACATGGTGTGACAGCATAGGAATGAGGAGGTTTGTGACATCCTGATTTTACATTTCTTATTGACATTAATCCTCTGTCAAAAATCCAAGCAGCTCAAAGATTCCTCAAGGAGCTGAAAAATTTAAGAAACTGCATTAATAAGGATTAACCCCATCCTACAACCAACATACCACTTTTCCTGTATCAGCAAACAAAAAAAAGATGGCTGCAAGAAGAATACCTTTAACAGCAGAGATCACGTCAAAAATTAATTTGATCTTAACAAACTGCAGAAGTCTAAAATAAAAGAATATGGTAGAGAGAACTTAGCACTGAGGAATGGCTGGTCAGAGCACCCTACCAGTGCCATTTGAGACCACCTCACTCTTTCCAAGAGAGTGTGAGCCACAGATCCCCACTCATTTTCTCCCCTGCCCTGTGTGCCTACAGGCCCTTGAGTGTATCTGCAGCTGCCTCTTTCAGGCTGCAAAGGTCTCAGCTACTTGGCCACTCCCCACTCTGACACCGCTGAATTACACAGCAGAACAGTGCTCTGCAGTAAATGTCACCACCACTCCTAAAAGATGACTTTGAACAGGCTTTATTCCATAAGCAAAGGAAAGGGCAGGTAAAATCAACTGAACCCAAACCCCACAGACCATGTAGCAGTTATCCCTGCCTACTTCCCTGTGAATGATTGCTCTGTACCTTTGAGGCACTCTGGAACATCTTCAGCCTTCTTGCCCTCTGCTCTCCATC